CCCCCCCCCCATTTTTGTTGCCCAGCTATGCATCTGTGTTCTAGGCCTCTTATGGCCTAAAATTCTCTTTTTAAGCTCTGTGTGACTTAAACATGATGGACATTCTATATGCCTTTTTTGTTTTGGCAAAGGATATATTTCTGAGCATTGTTCCATTTGCCACTCCTTCACTACTCAAACTCTTCGCAACAGAGCCCAGAGACTAAAACTTTTTTGTTGGGAGCACTCTCTGTTGCTCAGAAATCTTCTTCTCAACAAGATCCCTTGGCCTTAATCCCTATTTCTAAGCTTCCCCAAATCCCTAAACGCTCAAAGAAATTGGAGGCTTCTATATCTTCTTTGTCGAAATTGACACTGACTACAACTTCGGCCTCAACATCGACCGTGCCCTGTTTGATCTCAGTGCCTTCAGTCTCAACATCGACCACGCTTTCTTCAATACCAACATCCTTGGCATTGACAATTTCAGGGCCGGCTGCTAGTATGGATTCCCATGGCTCCCTTGAACTCTCTACTGGCCAAGTTCCGCCACCTCAAGAGGTTCCTTCCATCTCTCAGGATAAGCACCATTCACATAAAGCAAAAAGGAGATTGGTGTTGACAGGAGATTTTGAGGCGGAAAAGACTAAAAGAAAACAAAAATCCAAGCCTTCTGTACTAACAGCACTAGCTTCTACTATGAACTCAGTACCAAACACCACGCCGGCAGTGGTGCTGGAAACTACAATGGCATTTTTATTCCCGCCTATGGTATCTTCAGATCAACCTCCCATCTCAGTCCCTCCTATGAACTCGACACCGGGGGTGATGACATTGGCTACACTAAGTGGGGCTTCGATACTGATTTCCCAGCCCACTTCCACTGTGCCTCTCCATTGCCTCCAGTCCTGTCCTCGGTACCTTCACAGATCTTCACCTCTTCAATCTGGGCTCATAGGCTTTCATTTTCTCCTCCAGCCTTGAGGTCTCACACAGCCTCCCCTGCACAGTCCCATCGCTCCTCGACACCATCTCAGGATCGAGCAGACCTCTCTGCATCATCTTCCCGACTCTATTACCAAGGCTTACCCTTTACTTCTGCTTCCTATTTGGAACACTACTGAGCTGAAAAATATTGGAGAGAGCAACCTCCTTCCTACAGATCCTACTCTCCTTCATACTGAGATCAATACCATAACAGAGAACTGTATTACCACTCTCCATCTCGATACCAAGCACGATCTCAATCTCGATCTCGATCTCCATGCTTCCCAGTATCGCCATGCTTCTCAGTCTCATTTTGAATTCAGACTTACCATGCACCTGTCCACATTTCTCTGCCCAGACCATCAAGATAACAGGGTGCTTTCACCACCACACGCTACTACTACAGTCTCTCATCCACTGGCATCCCCTCTTCAGTCCTCAGTACCAACAGGTCCTGCTCCTACTACCACATCTGTGCTGACACCTATCTCTGCAGTCATTCCAGTTGTGTCTTCCTTATCTGCTCCATTAATTACACCTGTTTCTGTCACCACACATGCTGTCCAATTTACCACTCCAGTTATGCCTCCACAGTCTACAGAGGAGTCTGCTTATGACACTGAACCATCAGTCTCCTTCTCCCTTAATTGAAACACCTCAGGAAGGAGTAGAGGATACTGGACCTCAATCTCCAAATGAAAATGTCCAAATCTTTTCAGATGTGGTGACACGCATGACATGTGCAATTGGTCTTCAAGTGGATGCCCCTCCTAAATCAGCTCAGGACCCATTCTTCCAGATTGTGGATGTCAAGGCAGTGACACTGGCTGTTCTACCTTTCCTTGCATCACCTTGACGTGATGCATCTTTCTTGGATGAAGCCAGCCTCTATTCCACTGCTTCCAAAAGCCTTGGAGGGCTCTACAAGGTACAGCCTGACACAGCTCCTTACCTAGTCACACACTCAAAACCTAACCTCTAAATCCTCAGGCAAGACACACTCTGTCCCTGTGGATAAAGAAGATCAATGCCTAGATAACTTTGGGAGATGCTTCTATTCCTCAGCAGCCCTTGCTGCGAAAGTAGGAAACATGCGGGCTTGCGTGGGTGCCTATCAGAAGATGGGACAAGATGGCTTCCTTCATCCCTGGCTTCCCAGAGGAACAAAGAGTGGCTGCTCTTGATTTTTACACCAAGGCACTCTCCCTGGTCAACCAGCAAATTCCATCTGGCCTAGCCTGAACAAGAAGAAGGGCCCTCTCTCCATCCACCATCATTGAGGGAGAGAAGGCAGGCCATCTCCATCGGGCCTAGCCTGGAAAGAAGAAAGGCCCTCCCTCCCTCCACCATCATCGAGGGAAAGAAGGCAGGCCACCTCCATCGGGCCTAGCCTGGAAAGAAGAAAGTCCCTCCCCCCATCCACCATCATTGAGGGAGAGAAGGCAGGCCATCTCCATCGGGCCTAGCCTGAACAAGAAGAAAGGCCCTCCCTCCAGTCCATCTGCTTTGGTCCAGGCTTTAGAGGGAGAGAAGATCTGCTGGACTTATTCCCCTTCCCCACTACCATTCCCTTCTCCTTTTATGTCTTGTCTTTTTAGATTGTAAGCCTGAGGGCAGGGAACCATCTAATTAATCCATTTGTAAGCCGCTCTGATAGCCTTTTGCCTGAAGAGTGGGGTATAAATACATCATCATCATCATCATAATTCTGCCAGCTATTCTGTCGACAGTGCAGCCAAAGTCATCTCTGGTGCAGTGGCACTCCATCATTATGCATGGCTGAAGTCCATTGATCTTTCTGATGAGGCCAAAAAGCAGATCAAGGACTTGCCTTTTGAAGGCGAAGGTCTCTGCTACTAAGACCGATGTGTCTCTAGACACCTTGTGTAAGGCTCATCTCACTGGCAAGAAACTACACTTCACAGGCCAGAAACAATGATATCGCCCCTACAGACAACAGTGGTGTTTTAGACCTTCACCTAACTACTCATGTTCCCATTCAGCTGGCTCCTCTCAATTCCGTGGCTCATCTCAACAATCATCCAGATGGCTCTACAGACAGTGCTATCTGCAACATCAACAACAACAACAGCAATACTCTAAAAAGTCCTCTTCCTCCAAATCTTGGTTTTTGATAGATCTACAGAGACACTCTTCTCTCAGCCAGTCTCCCCATTGCCAGCCCATCACTTTCCCAAACTCTGCCGCTTTTACAACAACTGGCGGAGAATCAGCACAGATACTTGGCTCTTCATCATCATCCACCTGGGTTACACCATAGAGTTTTCCTTTTTTTAAAATAAACTTTATTAATTAAAATCACACATCACATTTCATCATTTTCCAATTCTCAATAACAATTATCATCTATCAACAATAACATAAAAACTTAAACCAATATTTTGCT